TCCACAATGGAAAAATATTAATCTGTAGTCAGTTTCTCTCCAACACAATATCCTGTCTGGCACTTTCCTTCCTTTTTTCACTTCTTTTATGAATTCACAAAATTATTTTGATTGCAGCTATCTCGCTATGTTATGATTTCTTAATTACTTTGCGCAGCATTCAAATTTGCAAATCAAGTTCCCTTTTATGTTCTTGGGCAAAAGGACTTTACACCTACATGCTAGTATAATGGTTGGCATTTGATGCACACAACCTTCAATAAACAATTTATCTAAACAAAGTGCTCATTTTTACCTACAGTAGCTGTCGATAATATTAATTCAAAAGTATCCTTTAAGTTTAAACAAGAATACTATAGAAACAGATTGGAAATTACACTTACAATTTCAAAGCTAACTGTAATGCCACATAATTGATTTTAAATTTCCTTTCAAATGTCCTGTTTATAATTTTACAATTACCACATAAAAAAAAACATTCTCACCACTCCTCTTGTTTCATTAATATTAATATTAAATACTGTTAAGAGATGAAAATGTTGAAAATTACAATTGTTCATCTAAATGTTTCAAAGTCTGAAAATAAGTAGATTACACCAAAACAAGGTCACTGGCAGAAATTAAAAAAAAAAACTGTCAAATAATAATCTGACATTACCTTTCATTTTTATTTCATCCAAGTAATTTTGCTAGCATATTTGTTACAACCTAACAAGAAAAATCAATTATACCCTCTGTTACCAACAGTGTAGTTGGCAGTTTTTTGTTGTTGTTGTTGTTTTGTCTGTTTGTGTTGTTTGTCTTGTTTACTTTGTGTTGTTTCGTCTTGGTGTGAGTGGCACCCTCATATGTTGGATGATTGGTGTTCTGTTGAATGGTAATTTACGTCACCATGTATTGTCATGGTTAGAACACGCCTGGTACTGTACGCAAAAGAGTGGAGGCAGCATTGTTATGTACGTATTTTTATTTATTTAATGTATGTGTTTATTATAATTAATTCATTGTGACATTTGTATTAAGTTGAATTTTATATTTGTTTATTCTTTTACTTTCATTTGTTTCATTTGTTTCAATTATATTTCAGTTCACCGTTGCCATATTGTTTCTAGATGAGTGTAAATAAATGTTTATTCCTCCACCGAGAATTTTGTTTTGACATTCGCTACACCCTCCCCATTTTTAGTTTTTGTGAAATGTAACTTACAAAATTTTAATAACCTTAAAAACTATCTATAAATTACTCTTGAGCTTAATTTTGGCAGGAAACGATATAATCCTTAATAAAGATATGGCATTATGACCTAAAAATATCTCAAAAAGCATTTCTGACAGTGCCAACAATTAAATCAACAAGGTAAAAATAAATTTTCAAAGTAAGAATTTGCAATGCATTCTGGTATTGAGAGAGAAAGTCTCATCCTACAGACCATTCCCAGACCCTATCATACTAACTGTGGATCGATCTATCTCCAAGGGGATTCTTGCTAAATTGTAATCAACTTAAGAAGCGGCTTAGATGTCTGTCACATCTACTGAAGCTGCTAGGGGGTAATTAATTATTGTTCAGCAGCTTCACTAAGCATGCCAAACATCTAAGCCGCTTAAGCTGAAGGCAATTTAGCAAGAAACACCTTGGAGATGGATCAGTCCTTTTAGATGGATCTAGGTATCGGAANTCCCTATGTTTGGTGAGTAAGGGGCATTTTAAAAGAAAGTGTATTTCGTTTTCCACTTAATCTGAGCATAACTTGCAGATCCTTTCTTCAGGGGGTATTGATTTTGGTTTTCTGTATCTGCCTCTTTGGATTTCTAAGTCATGTGCCCCTGTTCTAAATTTTGCCAAATTTTGCATTTCATGTTTTGGTATAGGTGCTGTTGTGTACGCTTCCCTTTCATAATTTGTTTTAATATACTATAGAAACAAACAGATTGGAAATTACACTTACAATTTCAAAGCTAACTGTAATGCCACATTATTGATTTTAAATTTCCTTTCAAATGTCCTGTTTATAATTTTACAATTACCACATAAAAAAAAAATCTCACCACTCCTCGTTTCATTAATATTAATATTAAATACTGTTAAGAGATGAAAATGTTGAAAATTACAATTGTTCATCTAAATGTTTCAAAGTCTGAAAATAAGTAGATTACACCAAAACATGGTCACTGGCAGAAATTAAAAAAAAAACTGTCAAATAATAATCTGACATTACCTTTCATTTCTTATTTCATCCAAGTAATTTTGCTAGCATATTAGTTACAACCTAACAAGAAAAATCAATTATACCCTCTGTTACCAACAGTGTAGTTGGCAATTTTTTGTTGTTGTTGTTGTTTTGTCTGTTTGTGTTGTTTGTCTTGTTTACTTTGTGTTGTTTCGTCTTGGTGTGAGTGGCACCCTTATATGTTGGATGATTGGTGTTCTGTTGAATGGTTATTTACGTCGCCATGTATTGTCATGGTTGGAACACGCCTGGTACTGCACGCAAAAGAGTGGAGGCAGCATTGTTATGTACGTATTTTTAATTATTTAATATATGTGTTTATTATAATTAATTCATTGTGACATTTGTATTAAGTTGAATTTTATATTTGTTTATTCTTTTACTTTCATTTGTTTCATTTGTTTCAATTATATTTCAGTTCACCGTTGCCATATTGTTTCTAGATGAGTGTAAATAAATGTTTATTCCTCCACCGAGAATTTTGTTTTGACATTCGCTACACCCTCCCCATTTTTAGTTTTTGTGAAATGTAACTTACAAAATTTTAATAACCTTAAAAACTATCTATAAATCACTCTTGAGCTTTTGGCAGGAAACGATATAATCCTTAATAAAGATATGGCATTATGACCTAAAAATATCTCAAAAAGCATTTCTGACAGTGCCAACAATTAAATCAACAAGGTAAAAATAAATTTTCAAAGTAAGAATTTGCAATGCATTCTGGTATTGGCAGAGAAAGTCTCCTCCTAGGGACCATTCCCAGACCCTATCATACTAACTGTGGATCAATCTATCTCCAAGGGGATTCTTGCTAAATTGTAATCAACTTAAGAAGCGCCTCAGATGTCTGTCACATCTACTGAAGCTGCTAGGGGGTAATTAATTATTGTTCAGCAGCTTCACTAAGCATGCCAAACATCTAAGCCGCTTAAGCTGAAGGCAATTTAGCGAGAAACCCCTTGGAGATGGATCGATCCTTTTAGATGGATCTAGGTATCGGAACCAGTCCTAGACCGCAATGTTGAATCTACAAGTATTCTGTGCAGACAAAATTAAAACCTCATTTCCTATAATCACCAATGACTGCTGAAATGTTTTGTAATCTGTAAACAATTTCACAATTATCACTTGGTTAAAGTGTTTACTTGATAATCATAGTATTTATTGCCAAATACAAGCATTTACTTGAAACAAAGAGCAAAATGGAAAAATTAATGTGGAGCCACGAGCACATGATTGAGGAAAAACAGCGGAAAATGCAGTTTATGTGGTCTACCATTTATGAGCCAAATTCATAACTCTGGGATTAAATGACACTTTTAGCAGGGATGCGAGTGCAATTTAGTGAAAAAGTCAGAAAATATGGTGTAGGGTCCAGGGGGCAGCCTAGGCCAATGATATTTTTGGCTCCCAAAAAGTCGGAAATCCGTTGATAGCCAGAAAAATCTCATCTCTGCAATAGATTTCTAAAAAAAAATTCAATAGCACCCCACTTTTATCTCACAGAAATTTCAAAAGCTCCATTTTGCATTTCCTTTTGTGAAATAAATAGGGTGCTAATGACACGGAACCTTATCAAAAATATCCTTTAACACAGCTTAATTGTCATGCGATAAAGTCATATACAAATAAAGGCCATGGTAATGTACAACTTGCTGTGCCATCAATAAATCCACAGATTCTAATGTATACATTGTCATGGATTCACCTCAAAAGAACTTGACACATATCTGGGCAAGATATCTAAACTGCAACTATGAATGTATTCAAGTGGTGCTTGTATAATTGTTTACCTTTACCAAGGAGGTGATGCCTTTGCCTTTGTTTGTTAATTAATAGCCTAAGCTAGCTACCTCCAAAACATTGTGGACAGATTTTGATAAAATTCACAGGGTTTGTCAGAAATGGGCTAGCATATAAAATTGTTTAGATTTTAATGATGATCCATTAATTAATTCAGGATGAGAACTCGGCCTAAGTCTGCACTCTTTAAGTGCCTTTCCAGTTGTACATGTTCTTTACTTGCAATGTTTTACACAGGAATATCTGTACACCCTAAACGTGGTTTGGAAACATTTCTAAGATATATTGCCCATTTACAAAATTCAATAACACTTTATTCATGCCTTTTATCTTTAACAATATCATTGTCTTGGGAATCTTGATAATGGGCACTTTCATAAGGGTGGAAATTCAGGAAATACAATTTTTTTCTGCTATTGGCATACATTTGCTGTCAGGAGAGAAAAATAGGTCATGGACAACAGAATAGGGATTTCACATACAAAATGAGAAAAAAAATTAACCCAATTTTCTAAAAATTAGATAAAAAAGGTTTCAGCAAAAACCAAACAAAAACCAAACAATTTCGTACATGCCTGCTTCAGAGGGGAGTCATCTGAAACTCATGTGTGGTCATAATATAACAGCACAATAATTTAAGAGAGAGAAAGAGAGAGAGAAGAAATAATATGATCATGTATAGCATTTTCAGGTGATATGAGAGGAGCTCTTCTCGCCAGATTTTTTTGTGCCCATGTTAGCAACAATCACACTACCACTGATGCGATCATAGTACAATGTGTCTGAAACAGATTAGAACTTCAATTTTATATATGTAAATAGAAGTGCTATTGTGTATGAAACTTGTGCTATGTATAAAACAGATTAGCAAGTTAAGGAAATTCATGTCTTAGCACTTCTATTTACGTACATTTTCTGATTGATGTATATAGGAGTGGTAACTTCCAAAACAACGGCACTTACCTTGATCTGGAGTTTGCGGCATATATCTGTCAGCCTCATGTACTCCGTCAGTCTGGACATGGCGCTTTAACATCTTCCAACTGACATCCTTAAGTGGGTCCACATTGCACACCTGTGGAATATTAGTTAACATGGTAACTGTGCAAGATAAAAAAAAAACATAATTTTAATTATCACGTGATAATTAAAAGTGAAAATCTGGAAAGACATCTGAACAGAGGTTTATTTGATCATCTAGAAAAAGATATGTCCACTTCCTTTGCTCTTTTAAGCAGTTAAATTTTTAATAAGATTGATTTTAAGTTATAACAGTTATAATTCTCTCACAAGAAAAAGACACCTCTTTTTATGCTACATTTACATATTAGCATTTAAAGGCTACTGAGTGACAGATTTCATAAAAGAACAAATTACTCAAACTTTTCGGAAAGATTACTGTAACACAGTAACTAATGTATACTAGTCAGCTGGCAAATATACGGACAGTTTCTGAAAATTTAATCAAAATGCTACAATTTAATCAAAAACTTTTTTGCATAGTGTTGCAAGCAGACAAAGGCATGGACAGACCAGACAGGCAAATGAAATCAAAAGCATAATGTCCTTGACAGAAGTAAATATGATGTTAGTGTTACCAAATGCGTTGTACAGCAACAGCAATGGCAACGACCTTGCAAGACACAGGTAATTGAAATAAAATGACTGACTCTCCTCTAGAAATACTGATACTGATCCGAAGTTATAACACAATCAAATGGAGACAATCACAAAAAATGCAGGGGAAAACCTTTGATTTTTTTAATTCTAAAGAGAAAGGAAGGGAAGCATGTAGACTGGGTACCGATACCTAAATTGATCTAGGAATGATCCACATCCAAGGGTCTATGACTGGGTTCCCATACCTAGAGCCATCTAACAGGATCGATCCATCTCCAAGGGGTTCCTCACTAAATTGCTTTCAACTTAAGTGGCTTAGATGTCAGGCACGCTAAACGATAGTTAAATACCCCCTAAACAGCTTCAGTAGGCGTGCCAGACATCTAAGCTACTTAAGTTGATCGCAATTTAGCAAGAATCCCCTTGGAGATAGATCGATCCACAGTTAGTACGAGAGGGTCTGGGAATGGTCCTTTATTCTGCTGGATGTATATAGGCACAATAATGTTGCAGCTCACAAGCACAACAATTTCATGGCAGTGCCATAAGGTGACACCAGAGTGAAAATGTCAGTGGTGCAATAATGTCACAAAGGTGATATAATGTCACAAGGGAACAATAAGGTCGCACAGGTACAATTATGCCACAGCAGTCAACATCAGGCAAGTACAATAATACCAAAAGGGGTGCAAAAAAGTCACAAAGGTGATATAAATGTCAAAGCAGTGCAAGTATGACACACAACTACAGGCCCCTCGCCAGCAATTTCAAAAGGGAGGTTCTTTTTCTGAAAAAGCAGACCTTTTACCATGAGACCTTGTTGTATCTAGATAAAATTTTACCCAAAAGAGACCTTTTTCCGGAAATAAAAGGGGGGGGGGGGTGTCTTTTTAACCTGCCCCCAACCACCCTGGCTACAGAACTGCAAGTGCAACAATGTCATAGTGGTGCAATTACTTTCCTGAGGTGCAAAAAGAGGGGGGGGGGGAGGAGGAGGAGGTGCTTGTACACTTTTGGTAACTTACAACATGATGCACCGTCTCTGGTACAGAGTCTTGTCCTTTCAAATCTATCCACACCGGGAAATGCATTAGACGTTCCTAGAAAGAGGAAAGATGGAGAATTTATAACAATAATAACAATAATAATAGCCATAATTATAGATAGATATAATATATATAATCCTTTAACTAACTTTCAAACACGATATTAGTCATAAGAAAGTGAACAATGAGAATGTTAATTTTAACAACCAATACTGCACAAATGCTAAAAGAAAAAAGAGAATAACTTTTATCTGTATCGCCAGCTTAGATGTTGCCTTTAATGAGTTTTATGTATTCAAATGATTACACAAATGTAATCATAGCTTTGGAAAAGTGGCCAAAGTTTTGAGTGCAAAATTTTAATTAAAATATTTATCGTTTTGTGAAAGCATGTGCACAGCTAAAGCAATTTATAATAAAGAAAAATTTTACAGTGAGAAAATAATGTTTTTCAGATATCTAAGTCATGATTTTTCTTCACTGTAGAAAATAACTTCAACACAAAAATTTGTTACCGACAAAAAGATGAAAAACCACTGAGAATTACTTTACAAATTTAAATGAATAAATAGATCAGATGTTTGGTCCTCATCAGTAATTGGGTTAACATGTATCGATGTATTTTTTTTTCAAATATCCACATTTGGTTAATTAGAAACAGATACTAAGGCTACTGCTGAAAACTAAGAACTAATGTTTTTCCCTTTACTTTACTATTATTATTATTATTGTTGTTTATTTTATTTTATTATTATTATCATTATCATTTTTGTAAAAAAAGCAACAGAACTTACAGCCAGTTTCTTCACATCAAAAGAGTGCAGAGTTGCAGAACAGACAACCATCTGTAATCGTTTGCCATCACTAGTAATCTTTGGGATTTGCTGATGAATTCTATCAATCAAATCTTTGTTTCCCGCAGAGAGTAAACCATCCTGGAAGAAATTTAAATCAAAAAATATTTTGAATTATTGAAACTTTAAATCAACGTGAACTCAAAATCAAATCCATCTGCTTTCCAAATGAACATTCATGTTAAATGATACTTTGTCAAAATTGTACTTTTGTATAGCTATAAACACTTTCAGAGATCCTATCAAGGATTTTCATTCAAATGAATCCAAATAAAATGACTTCAATTATGGAATCAATCTTGATACTTACAGCTTCATCTAAAACAAAGAATCTGACAGAAGACAGCAGTAATTTCCCAGTGGAGATGAGGTCTTCCAAGCGACCTGGTGTCCCAACCACAATGTCCACCTGTAGTGGTCACAATATATCTAAAATCATCTTTTCTACATACATTTTCCTGAAGCCTTCATACTAAATAACACTTGATATCTAAGACCCCCTTCCCATACCTGGATTGATTTAGCAGGATCGACCCATCTCCAAGGGGACTCTCGCTAAATTGCATTCAGCTTAAGCGGCGCTGATGTCTGGCAAGCCTACTGAAGCTGTTAGGGTATAATTAACTATCGTTTAGGAGCTTCAGTAGGCATGCCAGACATCTAAGCCACTTAAGCTGAATGTAATTTAACAAGAATGCCCTTGGACATGGGTCAATCTTTCTAGATCCATCTAGGTATGGGAATGGGATCTAAAATATATTCCAACTTGTTAAGTATATATTATGCTGTTTATGTGGTTCCTACATATGTAATATGAAATCGCAAACTACACAATTATATATCTAAAATCACCACAAGTAATCTAACTCATATCCACACTTACTGAAATACACCAAATGTGCTTGCGCACACACACACACACACACACACACACACACACACACACACACACACACACACACACACACACACACACACACACACACACACACACACACACACACACACACACACACACAC